CTCGGCGGGGAGCCGAGCACCCCGCGTCGCCGGGCGAATCTCGGCGGGGTCGTCGTGCGGCCCGAGGGGTCCCGGCCGTGCAGCGCCGTGACCTGCGGGGCGCCCGGGGCCGGCGGGCGCGGCCCCTTCTCCGGCGGCGCGGCGCTGTCCGCGGTGCTGAACCTCGCGGCCATGTTATTCCCGGCGGAGTCCCGACTGCCGTCCCGTCCCGTCCTGTGTCCGCCTGGGCGGCTCCGGGTGCTTCAGCGCAGGGAGGTCACGGCAGGGTAGTGCTCTCACCCGCAGCCTTTATGTAATACACTGTATCGCTCTGGTATCGAATGCTGGCAGCAAAATCAATGACAAATACTACAGTGCTTTCTCCTTCAGAACACGAGCCCTTCCACCAACACAGATTTTTTTTTTTTTGCAGCCAACTTGGGAAGTGTAACGTTACCTATATGAAATGGAAGTGCAGCTGAAACCAACAACTAGACAGGAACTTGGCATTTGCTATTTTTAACCACAGGTTCAGTTTATGAAAGGACATTCTGAAAGCGAATCAAAACAGCATGTCATCAGTGAGAATTAAATAATACAGGGAAAGTTCAGGAAAAAAGTGGATACCCCTTAGCAGCAATGCAAACACAGGCATGAGGTTTTCTCCTTTCTTCCTCTCTTTAAGAGTAAACAGTCAAATTTAGAAAGGTGTGCAATCTACTAGATTATTTTTTCTAAATTCACATTAATGTGCTTCAGCCTCTCTAGTATATGATAAAAATAAAAAGGCTTTTTTTCATTGCAGAGACAAATGTTCATTTTCTGTAATTGCACACTGGGTGTTTTGAATGCACAATAAAAAGCAAATATGCTCTTCTGGTGTGATGAGTAGAGGCTAAAAAAAAAAGGCAAACCCAACATGATGTGTTTTGTATGGGAGGATAACAATTTTAAAAATATACATTCTGCTTCTAAAAATAGAATGAATTGATATGCAGGGTCTTCAAATTAAAGGTCAGAGGTGACAAACCGGGACAAAGGTCACACAGCTCATTTTCAAGCAATCAGTTTCTAGTTTTTTCATGCTTGAACAAAAGCTTAATTATACAGAAAAGTGAGGACTGTAATATTTAACTAGTCAATTTTAAAAGAGAAAGAGAGGTAGTTTTACAAAATTCCCTATTTTCATGAATGTAGCTCTGTTACGGAATTATTTGTGCTACTGTTACTTATACAAAAATGGGTCTGTCTTAAATTTAAGCATTTAAGTACATTTCTTAGGTTAACATCTAAAAATCTGCAATCTGTATTTAGTGTTAGTACTTGAGAAATAAGAGGAGTGTGTAACCATTTTCTGCTTTGTCAGTGATTTTAGCAAAAAAAAAAAATCTGTCCTGATCATCCGTACTGTTAATTTCAATAAAGTTAAACTGCAGGTCCATTCATTTTGGCTTTGTGCACATACTTATAATTTCTAGCAAACCACTTTACTTCCCTCAAGTCCTGTTTCCCGTCTGCAGCATTATGTGTGTCAGTGTGCAGTAATTATACAGACCTAAAACCTGACTGTTGAGTTCGTATATGTATGTGATTATCGTTTTATTATATGCAATGTCTAAGAATCAGGGGTTTTTAACAATTTGAAGAGATTAATTCAATGTTAATAATATCACATTTAGACTAAACGAAGCTTTCATAAATATGCTAAAGGTATGTAACAAAGATTCTATAGGTAACATTTGATACATATTTAGACCACATGTAATGCAACACCCAAGGCTAACTCCCAGAAATTCAACTGTTAAAATTTGTAAACTCACTAATAATTTTGTATCACACATGAAGTTTCTGCTTTGCTTTCAGATTCTGTATCTCCTGTACCTACTTCAGCTACTGATGTGTACATTGATTTTAAAGGTTTTCATCTTTTATTTTAGAGATTGTGAAATTTTAGTTATGTATCACTGATGTTGCTGTTTACTTTTTTTTTCCTGATTTAAATTAATGACCTATCTGCACTAAAGTTTATGAAAAAATGACCATTGCGTTACTTTATTTTTTTGGTTCTTTTAAACAGTGACTATCAGAAGGCATGACATTCAGGACTGATGTGCCCCATACTATCCATACTTCTAAGAAAGTGAATATTGGTGTTTAAAATATAGACACTTATCTGCTGTTTAACTTCTATAATGTTTGATTTGATTGTTTTAATAGACAATATCCATATCAGTATTTGATAAGCATGTTATAAACTACAAATGATAAAAAAACTCCATCTTCAGTAGTGCTCCAAGTAATAATTCAGTGACAAAAAACCCCCAACCAAAATGAAGAAAGAAGATTCTGTGTTTTGTAGGTAAATAGCACATGCAAATAAAACAAAAATTCTGTGCAAAGGAAAAGATATGTGAAAGGTGTGTAAATTCCGTCAAAACAAGTATTAATGTAAAACATCTCAGAAAAGAGGTCTGAACAAGCCAGTTCAGTTGTTATAAAAGCAAATAAAAATTATATAATAATATATTTTTAAAAATAAAACTGGTAGTACCATCACTTTTGAGAGGATTATGTAACATCTCTATATTGAATGTGAACAATATGCATTCGATTTAGTGTAATCAGGATAATTGGAAAAAAATACACGTTTTTCTTTGAAGATTTAAGTATTTAATTCAACTTGTCATAATGTCTCTTTCTTAATGTGGCCTTTGACATGTATCTTTTCAGCACTTCATTTGGCATTGTTTTGTTTGCAAATAGTTATCAAGGGGGGAAATAAAATCTTATTCTCTATATCTAGTTTCTCACAGGAATAAGCAATTACAAAATAAATCAGTGATCAAGTTCTGAAAAATATTTTGATCTATGATTTGAGAATTGTGGCTTTTAAAGTTTTCTTCATCACAAGGTACTGATACTAATTTATATAAAAATACAAAGAAAAATCCATCTGAAAACATATAATAAAATTGCAAGGTAGTTTTTTGTTTCCTTTGCTGTATAGCAATTCAGTATGTGGCAATTTCAACAAGCACCTGCTAACAGTAAACTGAGAACAAATTATTTTAAATATGAAGGAAGTAGAAAAACAGTAGTCAAGAATAATTTGTTTAATTTTTAAATTGTGTATTTAAAAAATTCATTTTTGAATCACAAAATATTGTTTGAGACATTTGTTTTTCATTGTTTTTAATTATATAGTTATGATAGTTTAATATATGTATATTAAAATGCAGACTATAAGAAATTGCCAATTTTACTAAATCAAATACACTAAATAGAAGAATTATACATAAATAATTTCAATCCTTAAAACAAAAGTATTCTTGTTCAGCATTTTCCTTTGTTATGTATTATTACAGTTTTAAAGTAAATAGATCCTAACTAGTTTTTAATGCTAAAGCAATTGACAATATAATAATAGCATTTAATTTTGAGGAGAAGCTCTGACCCTATAGTTGTCAGGCTTTCATTGGCTCACATTCATATATGGTGGAGTTTATAATTCCTTTTTAATGCCCAAAAGAATCAGATTCATAACAGTGGTGGAAGCACATTTTACCTTTCTTCATTCCTGTTCCCAGTCAAATGACGTTCTTACACATAGTCAGAAGGTGCATAACTGTATGTTTGGTCTACAAAAATGTGTACTTCATTTCTTAAAAACTAAGATTTGCATAGACTATATAGGGGAAAAAATCATACCTGGGCTATTGCCTAGCTGTTTTATTTACTTGAAGCTGTAATTATCTTCCTTCAATCCTGTGACAAAAGTGGGTAAACTTAGCAAAGAAAGACTAAATTTTAATTTGCTAGTTTTCAATTAATGTTCTTAAGTCAGCATTATTTAAATATTTTGTCATCTTGTAGACACTTGCTTTCATCTTCACTTGCTAGAAAAATACAGGAATGGTATGAAAACAGAAGTATGGAAGAACAGCAAAGTAAATTATGGCTAAACTAAGAAGAAAATTGTGAGAGCTTTCAACTTTTCCCATCCTGTAATTATATAAGGACATTGATACTTGAGTATACATTTTCAGGAAATCTTAATTTTTCTTATTTATGCATTTCAAACTAACTATATTTTACTGAATTAAATGAAAAGGGGAAAAAAGAGTCTATACAATAAAACCATCTCAGGAAGACATCCATTATATTTAGAACTGCACACTGAGGAATCCATGTAAAACAAGTTAATTCAGAGTGTAAGACTACACTCAGTTGTGGTGTTTGAAATCAAAATACTGTGTGCATAGTGCTTCTACTAGCAGTCAAGAACTGTAAATCAGAGTAAGATTAATTTTATCTGACTAGTATGTGTGTGTATGTATTTTAAAAGCTGATGTTTTATGCTCCATGCTTGGGTTCTGTACAAAGAGTTTTAAAATTTTGTGTATACGCTTTGCAGCATTCATCCATTTAAGTCTTCACTACTGATGGTTTAACTAAAAGAGATCCTTTTAACATTGGAATGTTTTCCCCTATTCCTTTACATCACTATCTTACTTGTTTGATATAAAATATAGTATTGGTAGTTTTGTTTTCTAGTTTTCCTGTGCTCTGATCATACTTCCATTATCCAGCATTCCTTAAAAAAATACTGCTGGCTTTACTCTGTGGAAGAAATCACTCCCCTGGCTACCCCTGACTGTGAAAGAAACAGGTTTAACATCTGAATTTTTTTTTCAACTTACTTTTAGAGAAAAGCATATAACTTACTTAAATGGAGTAACTATATATGCCTGCTTTACTTTCTTCCAAGCAAATTGTATTTCTAAATCCTTTGGCAGGAAACTTACTTAAGCTAATGAATTCAAAACTATCCATAGCTAAAAGAATTCTTTTTTTATATATATAAACTTGCTGTTATTTTTTACTGACCAATAAGTTGTCAAAAAATACACTACATAAGTTGTTCAGTAAGCTGAATTACAGTGTCCTACCTGTAAGGGAAGGTGATTACCTTTGTTGGGTGTTTGTCAGTGTGCCTTTAACCCATACTGCACTTCTCATTGCATTTCCTATCCAGCAATATTTCCATATGGTGTTCTGTTGCATTATTTTTGTGCCTACTGTTATAGAATCCTTCCACATGGTATGAATGTCTAGTTATAATAAGGGTTGCTTTCAAAGGAAGGGACTTTTTCTCTAAAAACACATTGCTATCTAGTACAAAATTCCTAAGCAGCATTTATTCACTTATTTGCAGTTACAAAGTTCATGTAAATGCTGAGATAGTTTCAGAACTAAAATGCCAAGATATTTTTGTGGTTTGTACAGCATAAGGAGGCACAGGAGAGAGTTCACCATGAGCCATTTCAGAGCTCAAACCTGATTCCATTTAAATGGAATTTACCTCTTTCAGGAGGATGCAGCACAATACATGCCAAAATAGTTTCTCGTTTAAATTATCTGTTTAAATGAGTTTGTAGAATTGAAATGCCCAGGCTTTTCTACACTAATATCCTTTAAATCAAGTTTTGGGCATCGTATCAGGAAGCTTTTTGTAATAACTATAAAAAAATTACATCTTTTTTCTGCTTAATAATCTGTTATATGTTTTTGACCCTCTAAAACATGTGATGCTTACAAATGTGTTGTGAAATGGCAGTACTGGAAACAAAAATTACTTGAACTTGTGCTGTTTTCTGCTACAGTTTTTAAGAACTGTACTTCCCTGCTTTTAGTTCGTGTACCACTCCCCAAATACTTATTTTCAATCCCTTCATAAACCGAAGCAGGCTACATGCCAAAGCCAAGAACGGATCCTTTACTCTATGCTTGCATATTTCATTATGTTGCATAAATAATGCAAGTAAATCTGAAAGACACAAAAGCCACATAGCCACAGGTTGGCAGAACAAAGAAACAGATACAAGAGATTGGGCTTCAGTGCTTGAAGGTGTAAAAGCAGAGCTAGGTTTAATACGTGGCAAAAGTCCGCACAATTCCAGTGGAAAAATAAGTTACTACAAAAGAAGAGGAACTGAATCAGCTTGCCAGTGTTGTTGCACTGAAAAGAAAGATTCTGCTACCCTGTCTTCTGATTTCTGTTGTTGGAAAGGATTGAGGATAACTGACTGTAGGGGAAAAGAAGTTAGAGAGAAATTTGGTTTTCATTGGACTTTGGTCATTCTTGTTTTTACTTTGCTCACTCCTAGTAGGATATCTAATTTTTTTTTTTAATAAGAGAGCAAGATAACTGTCCAGATGTGCTTTTAAATTGGAAAGAAGACAAAACTCAGATTTCTCAGAAAGAGTAGAGATCTGGGCTTATATCTAAACAAAATATCATATATCAAAACCCCACCGTTTTTGGTGGGGTTTAGTTAAGATAGATTATTCAGAAAGACAGTAGAGGGTGACAAGAGGACAGGCTTGTGGCAGGTGAGTTTGTGCATGCTCTTATCCATCTTTCATTTGGTAAACAAACTGGGCAGCATAAGTAACAAACTTACTACAAAACCAAGGTATTTTTCTTCATGCTTTCTGCCAGCATTATATTTTTATCAGCATTCTATGAAATTAGCCAGGCCTTTCTCAACTAGACCAAAGGTACACCTTCCATGAAGTTTCAGTCGAGTCACACATCTGTATTTGTATGGTGGACTGGTTTTGTTCAGATTGAGACCTAGAATTTAATACCATTACTATGCAGCTTTATCACTGACATAATTGAAAGCATTTTTCTTTTGGTATTTATAAATTGGCATTGAGTTACAATTTAGACCATGAAAGAATCCTGTACAATTATTTTATTGGGCTTTTTCCCTTAATCATACACAAGGTATGACTTGATTGCTTAATATGTACAATTTAAGCATAGTAAAGACAAGTCACTAGTTCTTAGGTTACCTATTGCAATTAATTATTGATAAAGGAAACAAACACCTTCAAATATTCTGCAAATCTGTGTCTTTTCCCTCTGTTGTTATCAACTGCATAGTTTTCATAAGAGACCAATGAAAGGGTCTTTACTGGTGCTAGGGAAAAACAAAAAGAAATGGCTGATTTTTTATCTTGCACCTTGGTTATCTCATTGTGATTCTGATGAGCTAGGTAAGTCTCAAAGAGTAAGTTTATAGGTCACTTCATAGAGTCAATGCCCTGGCATTCTTGGCCTCCTAATGAGCTGTTAAACTGGAGAAGTAGTAATTAAATATGGTACTCTGGTACAATGTACACGGTACTGACTCCAGCTCTCTGATTTTAGGTTCCTCAGAAGACGATGAGGTCATTCAAGAAGGTCTCCTCATGCTCAGGTCAGTCTTCTCTGTAGCATCTTACATGGCTGACTGTGTATCCTCCCTGGGGGGCGTTAGCCCTGTCAGTTGCAGCACTTCTGTCCCGCTAACTTTGATGAACATAAGTATTGGGTGGGAGGGGGAAGACTCGTTAATTTCGTGCACAGGCTCCAGAGTTGTTCTTTGATGCTGTTTGAGTGTTCTGCAAGACAAATAAATAATTACGTAAGGAAAGTATATTTACAGTAACCCCACCTCAGATTACTGTCGCAAGTTGTGGGAGCCCACGGGTTTGTATGAGCGCTGCACGACCACCACCGCAGCAGACGCACCAGTGGGCGCAAACATCTCAGTCGCTAACATACCTACTTCTCGAGTTACTATCGTGCCACTGTCACGTTACCGCCACGCAGCCCCCTCCCATCGCGACGCCTCAGCACTGCCGCCCATCTGCCCTTTCAGCCCCACTGCCTTTCCAGGCCCCAGCCCGTTCCACCCCTCAGCCCCGGCAGCCTCCGTGGCCGCCCGGGCCGCCGAATGCTCGAGCGGGGGCTCCCCGCGGAGGGCGCTGCGCGCCCAAGGGATACGCGCGTCCCCGGCTCCCGCACGGCGCCGGGAGACAGACAGCCTGGGGCGGCCGATGGGGGGGGCCGAGTGTTGCCCGTGTGCTGCGGCGGGAAGAACTGCCCCTGTCACCGCCGGGCTGGTGCAGGCGAGAGCGTCTGAGCAGTTGCCCGTCGGGGAGGATGCGGTCCCCACTGGGGCACGCACACCAAGCGCCGGTGCGGCTGTCACAGGTGAGCAGAGGGGCTGGAGCGACAGCGCCCGAGCCACAAACCCGCCCGCTCATGGCCCTGCGCCTACCTTGCGGGAGGCGAAGCGGTGAGAGCGGGCCGTGCGGCCGGTGCCTCCGCCAGGGCCGGTCTTTCCTGGAGGGCGTTAGCCCTGTCAGACGGTCTACCGCGACGACTGGCCAGAGCCTCCTTAAATCCGTCGGAGAAGCGGCCACTATCAGTTGCAAATCCGCAGCTGAGAGACGGTAATGTACGTGAGACCACATCCTGTATCCCAGCGCTCCGAGTGAGTCCCTACCGCGTCCTCCTGCCCGCGGATCATGCGCGGGATCACAGCAATTCCCAATATTTTGTAAGTGTCCCCAGCAAACCGCCAGCATTGCCAGCAGAGATCCACGGACGGCAGAGCGGACCTGCGAGACACTCACAGCCGCCGCGTTTCGTTTCAACAAAAAATGCTCGTAAAACTCGTGTTTGAAACCTCGCTCCAGCCGTCAGTTCGAGCAGCGCCGCCTGCAAACGGCGGCGCGATCCCTCGGCGAGGGCCGCCCGGTTCCCGTAAAGGAGCTGAGGCGGGCTCCGGGCAGCCGTGCGCGCCCACCTTAGGTGTGACGGGAGAAGAGCGCCGGGACAGCCAAAAAACTGTGCTCCAGCGGCGGGCGGGGGCGAAGGGAGAGAGGCCCCTGCTGCGCTCTGAAACGGCATTTCCCGAAAAGAGCTGAGTGGTGCGAAGGGCGCCACTATAAAACCGGTAACTTCACATCCCGCAGTCGCACGTCGAGCAAATCCCGTCACTGGTAGACCTGAGCCGTGGGCAGCGCGCAGTTGAGTCGGCGCTGTACTTTGTTTAAAAACAAACAAACAAAACAAAACAAACCCACAAAAAAGCAACAACAACAACAAAACAAACAAACAAAACAAAACAAAACAAACCCGCACACATGTTTTCTAATAATAATCCGCGGCATTAATACGGAGGGTAATAAACCCGGCCAGGGCAAAGCGGGAAGTTGGCAGTGTCTATAGCACGTCCGACCCTGCTCTCCCAAAGGCGCGGGAAGACACACCACCACGTCCCCGGCGGGAAAGAGCCGCATTTTCTGGAAGTGTGAAACAAAAGCCCAGGGACAAAGCCCGGCGCTATGGGAGGCTTAAGGGGAGAAACCGCCGCCTCTGGGGTGCTGACGGAGCGCGGCTGCTGGACACCCGAGCGCCCGCGCCCGGTGGGCGCCCGACTTTCACCCTCCAGGGCGCCCCGGCGGGCGAGGAGCGGAGGAAGCGGCTTCCTCTCCCTGCCCTCCCCCCGAGCGGCACAACCGCTGCCGGCAGGGAAGCCCGCCGGGCCCCTGGCAACCCCCGCCCTCGCCCGGGCGCTGCACGTCGGCGGAAAGGGAAGGCGGCTTTGGCGCCCACACTGTAGGTGAGAGGGTTTTGGCGGGAACAGCTCAGCACCGCAACGGAGTCCTGGCCGTAGGGAGCGGCGGGAAAGGCCCCCCTCGGCCCCCGCGCCAGGAAGAGCCGGTTTCGATAGAAACCGTGTAAGAAACACGACGGGCATCTCATTCCGTCCAACATCGGCGGGGCGGCGCCGAGCCGCCAAGCCCGGGCAGTGGAGGAGAGGGGGCAGGGGCGCCCCGGCGCCGTCCCTGCCCCTCCTGCCTGCCCGTCGGCGAGGAGCTCTGGCTGCGCTTTGAAATGGGAAGTGGTGGCAGCATCCCGAGTTCTGCTTTCAAGTGTAAAACACGCGTTTCGTTTCAAATGCACGCAGCTCCATCATTTGTTTGGATTTTGTGGGTTTTTTTTTTCTTTTTCCTATTTTGTTTTGGGGTTTTTTGGGGGGTTTTTTTGTGTTTCTTGTTTGTTGGGTTTTTTTTGAGGTGAAGGTCTTTTTTTCTTGGGGGGGGGAGTGGTGGTTAGAGTTAGAAAAACAATTATTCCAGCTTCCTATAATTGTTTTTACCAAAATTAGCATCCATTTAGCGAAATGTAAGGATAGAAATATTTTTTAATAGATAAACTGTTACCATTAGACTAATTTTTCCACGAACTGGCTTGTTCTGTAGGGCTTTTTCCCTATTTGTCCTCTTTCCTCCTCTTCTTTGGGAATGAATTTTGGAAGAGTGTTCGTGGGTTCGGTTTTTTTTTTAAGTTTTCCCTTTTTTTTTTTTTTTCCCCTATCTTTCCCGGAGAGTTCTCAGCTGGCAACAGCTCTCTACCTTCCACAAAACTTGAAAGGCTGATGTCCCTTGCAGGAAATGAATGAGTCGATAACATCTGACACCAGTGACCAGTCCAGTGACCCCAACCTTAATTCCACTAATACTGGAGGCCTGAAAATCTCAGTAAAGACCCATTGCAAATCCCACCCTCCTCCATTTTACAAAATCTGCACTTATTTTGCAACGTAAGAAATAATTTGCAACCAATATATTTACAGTCTTTTATTTATGTCGTTTTGTAGTGTTTATTCATCGAAGAACACATTATACTCATTTTTTTAACTGAAATTTGCTAACAAGACATTTTGCCCATTTAATGAACTCCATCCACTCGTTTGCGTCTGTTTAACCAATATTCTAGCCTCTAAGGATTTTTTATACCAAATGTCGTTAAAATAAATCAATCTTTAAAAATAAATACCTTTAAAATGCCATTAAAGAGGATATTTTGTGTCTTTTCAAAGGGAAGGGTAGAGAGATCTCGTATTTTATAAACGTGCCCTTGTGCCACAATATATATACTCTTGGGCATTTCAAATAAGTGGTGTAAACATTGTTTTCTTCCGGAAACTTTAATTTCATGTTTATAGCTGGGGTTTCACGTGGCTTAAAATCTCGTACATTTATATATTAGATACCGTCCCGGTCATAAGATCCAAGCATATAAAATTACTGATTTAATATTTTAACATAATCGCTATTGTAAGGGGGGAAGGGAGGTTATGAGCCAAAAGCAGCGGTATGTTGCACGAATGCATAAGGCAGGTCAGTGTAGGAAGTCGACCTCACTGTTGAAATAACCTATAGGAAATTTACGGTTGACGACTGCAAAGGAATTTCGGGATTTAAAGCTTCTGCTCCACTTGCCAGGCTGCTTGTATTTGTACACTCTTGCCCACCCTCAGTTCTTTCTTGCAAACGATCACACGGAGCCTGCAACTTGGTGTTTCACACAGAAATGAGGCGCTAGGGGGGGGAATTGACGCTTTCCTGAAAGGCAACAAAAGGAGTAAACAGGCCCACGGGGGCAAAGGCGTTCCCCTTAATTGGGCAGACTGATCGACGCCACTTCCCAAACAACAGCAAGTGCTTTGCAAATGCATAAGTCCCTTGCATTCAGGTTCTGAACGGATCGGTTTGTTGCTTTGGCTTTTGTTTGTGTGTCCTTGGGATAAGACAGAATGCCGGGCGGGACGGAGTGGGCTAATAAGAAAGTCATTGAGCCCAGGTTTTAAATAGGTATGGGCAATGTTAAGATATATATAATACTGGGTGTAAAGCGAGGTTATATGCGAGGACGTGGTGATGAGGACAGAATACTGTCATCTGTACCTTTACACTAACGGAGATGAACAGATGGAAAATAAAACGAATTCTCACCTAATTAGTCTGTTTGTTTATTCTGACGTCTGTAAAAATATTTTAAGAGCATTTGGGGGTGAGTACAGCAACGGAAAGGCTAGAGGGCAGGGCGATAGCTGTGTACCTGTGAGCGCGGAAGGGGAGTGCCTGTGCAAAGGGGCTGTGACCAAGCCCTTCACACATCACACATTTCTTTTCCGAATTGGATCCCCTCTCCCGCTGGCAGTGAAGACTTAAAACAGCAGTCCCCGGTCAGCGTTATTCCTCCCCTCTTTGTCTTCTTTCTCCAATGGTTTTGTTTGTTTGTTTGTTTGTTTTTTCCGCCCTCCTCTTCTCCAGTAAATCCTTTTCTCTGACAGTCCTCTCCCAACTGCTGATTGAGGTTCAGTCCAATTCTCGGCTTGAAAACTAGTCTCTTATTTAGGAAGTCATTAATCACATCCCCTCCCCCGGAAAGAGATGGCGGAGAAACCTGTGAAGTACAATTCCTCGCCCCATCCCCCCCTCAGAAATGTTTTGAAACGCTAAACCTCCGCACATTCTGGGCCATATTAAGGTGATATCACGTTTCCGGCGCGCTTTTAATTTGAATGCGAAATTAGTAACGATCCGGTCATACATCTGCCCACGTTTTGCGCAGAGGGTGACACAGATGCCTCCCGGCGTCCCCCGTCCGTGTCTGTACACGTGTGTCCCTCATCCGTGAGCATCTCGCCTTCGTGTGCGTACGCGGACCCCGCCCGCAGTGGGCACAGATACCCCCATAATCTCCTCTGCACGGCCGCCCCTACATGTAGCTGCTGTTCCGTGGGCTGTATCTAGAAACACACGGATCTTCCTATGGATTTGTGCATGCACGGGGGAGGGGGGGGGGCAGAAACCCCAGAATAATACGTCATCTCTATTTCCCGTAAAGAAGCGTGCAGATTAGCTGTCCGAAAAGGAAGGAGAAAAAAAAAGCGCCGTGTTGAAAACTTCTTGTTCATTCATAAATTATTTTGGTGTGTCAAGCTAGTTGAAATGGCGATTGGCTGCTCCTGCCTCCTGCCAACCCCTTAAGGATCCGATGTGAAATTAGTAGCAAGAAAGCATGTAATTGACCGAGTCACGTGTGCGCAGGGGGCCAGAAACGGAGCGAGAGAGACGGGGAAAAATCAAAGAGGGAAAGCACATTAGACCATGCGAGCTAAATTTGCGATCGTTCAAAATCAGGATGTTAGATTAATGCAGAAGACCACTTCGATCCACAGGGAAAGTTTTCATCTCACGAGTTTGGAGCAGAGGGCCCGTGGGGCAACATGGCCGAAGGTTAATTTTCTTTTTCTATTGTTTTACTATGAATTTTGCTCGCTCGCTCTCTCCCCCTCTCCCCCCTCTCCTCCCCCACCCGCTTTTAACCCAACTATGCATTACCCTTTTTTAGCAGCTCGCGCAAGGGGGCTTTCTCCAAACCCATTGTTACCCAGCTCAAAACTGTTCCGTACCGCCCACACCGATTCACAACTTGAAAAGCTTTCAGGGGGCTATTGTTTGAATTGTTCCTGTTTGATTAAGCACAGTTGCAGTGGTGGGATGAGAAAACGGCTGTACACCTGTCCCAAATTTAATCGAAAGTTTATTCCAAGGAGGGATGGATACACGTTGGAAAATAGTGGTTTCGGCGCTGCATGTGCAATAACGAATTGTGCAATCTACCCAATTTTGCTTATTCTCT